CGCTTTGTGTTAGCCATGGCGACGACCTCGGTGCCATCCCAATTGAATCGGTGGTCGTACTCGAGTGCATGGGCAAAGACGAGGGACAGGGGGTCTCGCCGACGGATAGCTAGTTAGCGAGGGAATTTCTCGAGGCTTGGTACTCCGATGCGGGTAGTATCAACCGCCACGTTGATTTAGATGCCCATTACGAGGGTCTACGTTCACGAATGACTGCCCCCTGCCCTAATCACGCATCAACGACCGCGAATACAGCCGCCCGCATTCCAACTGATTCACCACCCGTCCTCCCCCTTCAGCACGGCGTGCCGTAATTGTTCCGCCTCCTCTCCCTTTCCCCGCCCCTCACTCAGTGACCTACTATGACCTCGGGAGCCCACCCAACCCCCCCCCTCACACGTCAGTGGTCTGTTCTGTCCTATCACGCTAACTGGTCTACTGTGACAACATAACTTTCTCCCTCGTTTTCATTTCGTCTGACGACGGGTTGGTGTCACCAGCTCGAAAATTCACGAGTAAAACTCGATTTTTCCGAAGAACCACTTCTACTTTTCAATATATATATATATTTAAATCGATTAAACTGTATCATTCAAAGAGTACTTCTATTTCCAACTGATTTTGCTTCATGAATAAATGCCGATATTCTCACCAGGGCTTATACCATGTCTTAGATCGATTAAGCAGTCAATTCGTAACTCAAATTCATTGTCAATATTTCATTGTTATTACCATTTTTTTGGAGATTTACAAGTCGTAAAACAATAAGTGGGTTTATCGAAAATACTTTTATTCACACAATTTCAAATCATCTTTCTAAGCTCCGTAGTTATTTATATCGTACTATGTCTCTGAAAAATGCAAAATACTTTGAGTTCCTTTCTTGAATTGATGTATATGCCAAGGACTCCATTTGGAAAAGAACAGTCGCGTATGATATAATAAGAAGATGAACTTGACAAGGATATTATAGTAAATGGATGACATGGGTACACCGTTTCTAATAGTAGGAAAAACAAAACTTTTTGAAAAAAACGAGTGACTTCCGCCCTGAGTGAGTTAGTTCCTGGAGGACACAAAAGCCCCGCACGCCGCCGATAGAATAAAAGGCATAAATGGCTATTTCTCTCTTTCTCAACATTTCCACAAGTCAGATTGAAACGTTTTGTCGTGGTCAAGGTGTCAAAACGCCGAAGCCTCGAATTCGGGTTCTATTCCGTGTTATCCAGTCTGTAAGCCAGCTGGTGCATTTCTTGGCTTGCATTGCCTCAACTAAGTGGTTTCTCTTCAATCTAATCCAAAAATAATATGATAGGATAGTGTATTTTAAAAAAACCGACCGTGTTTGTCATGGAAATCAACCGCGGCATAAAATGTGAATGACTTGACACCGTTCCGAAGTAGGCGCATTTAAACAAGTGCGTATTGTGCTTCTAAATAGTTCTCACGATCTAGACAAACATATTTGCACCCCCTGTCCCCAGACCTACAGCACATGCCACAAGCAGTGCTTGTTGGCTTTGAAAATTTATATAACACATATTTAAGTTTGCTATACGTTCACTTGGTAGGGCAAACAATTGATTGACATGAAGAAGGAGACACGATCAACGGGAAGAGAACTTTATACTAATAATAAAAATAATAAGTTTTTACTTAAGACCCGTCGCGGTCCCATCAAGGCAAGGAAAAAAAATTTACATACGAGTTTTCGACGAGGTAGGCAGAATCTGTGCAAAATACAATTTATAGTTTCTGAGTTTGCGATCCGTTAAAAAGAATGATTAGTGAGCGGTGAAAAAAACTCCAGTTAAAAATTTAAAAATGACTGGATTAATTTTACAGGAGAAAAAACCCTCACTAATAATGACTGAAAAATACGGACAGGACTCTCCTGCATGTGGCGGTATATAATGGGATTATAATCGGACATCGTCAGGGCAGAAATAAATGCCAGCCTTGATTATAATAGGACATCGTCAGGGCAGCAATAAATTCAGCCTTGAGAGGTACATATGCGGGTCGGACAGGACTGGCCTGCAAGTGGCATTGTTTACGGGATTCAGAACTGACATCGCCAGGGCAGGATTGATACGCCGGATGAGACTTCGCGTCAAAGAGGCCAGACGGGAGGAACCTCGACGCGATCGACCACAGTACGCTTTGAGCCCAGCCGAGGAGTGGGGAAGGGAGGGTTCAAATTACTAGTAGACGGCGAACACTAGGGGTTCCGCCATGAACTTCGACAGACCGCATGAAGTCGAAATGCGGGAGATGACATCAAGAACCGCGAAAATCGTCGCTATGGGGAGCAGTGAAGGCACCTGAAATTTCGGATTCTTGCTCGAACACATCATCAGAGATAATAGCAAATACAGACTGTTCATGCACAAGGGGCTACAGCATTCATAGGATGTCTTCGCCATGCTACTGCATACCTATGAACATTCACGGCTTACTTAACACCTCCCCCTCTCCTATCAAGAGGGAGCGTTGCACTTGGTGTTATGACTGTTTGATGGTAGACATTCGCGTCGTAGACTGCTGCAATTTCAAGTTGCGACCCATTCGGCGAAACACGGTCACAAATGCAAGTTAGGTGAGGCCGAAAGTCTCGCGACAGGTGATAATAGCTTGAACCTCGAGCTGCCTGTGTCTATCATCAGTCTCAGCAAAGACATTACCACTCCATTTTCGGTGCTGAGGCATAGTCTCGTCAAAGTTATTACATCACTCGGGGAGCGCAACTTTCGGTGCAATAATCACCTCAAGGAGGCTAACGACAAAATCATACTGACCATAAATTCTTACGAACGATGACGTGCATCATGAAAGTCTCCCACGCCGTTAGTCACCTCCACGCACCACTTGGGTTTGGAGTTGCACACAGACTGGAGACCACCATAAGGTATCAAGTGATAAGACCAACAGATTCACTGCCACTGCAAGAAACATCTGGAGTCCTCTATCGAATCTGGTGCAGTTGTGGGCAAAGCAACCAGGTCGGAGAAACTGAAAGACTGGTTCGGACGCGAATCGGTGAACACGCTTCGGCGGCGCGGAGAGATGACGCCGACGTTCAAGTCGCAGCCCATTCGACAAGACCCGCCCATACATTACAATTCGACGATGCCGAAGTTCTCGTGAGATGCTATAGTCGCGTGATCCCCGAGTTTATTGAGTAATGGTTCTCGGGACCGCAGTCTATCAACAAGGCAAACGACATTCTGACTCCATATTCGGTGCTGAAGCATAGTCTGGCTAAATTTATTAACATCTCGGGGAAT